GCATGTCATATCAACTTGAAGTAAGAATAAGCTCCTCCCTGTAAGGAGTAATGATTTTCCGCCCGCCGCTTGGTCTTGTTCCGCCACCCCACCAGCCACAATTAACACACAGAGACTGTATTTGATACAATACTATTGGCCTGGTACTCGTTTCTTATCGGCTAGCTCTGTCTTAAATATTAACCCATTTCTGCTGAGCTATGTATTTTCACGTGGTCTTCTCTTACCGGGGAGCCGTCCGGCATTCTGCTTTCTCCAGTCCCTCCATCTTGACTCCTCCTTCCTATTTCCTCTTTCCTCCTTTTCTCCTAGTCCCTCCTATCTTCATTTTCTATTGGCCAACAGTGCTTTATTCATTAACCAGTATGAGAAACATATACATAATGGCATCTCCCATCATCTCCTCTTTTCTGTCTAAATAAAAAGAAGGGTTTTAACCTTAACATAGCAAAATATATCACACACAGTTATCAAATAAGAATCACAGTTAACAATATTTAGTCCATTAACATTTATCAAGATTTAAGAAAATATTTCATCATCTAACCTATCTTTGTGTGTCTAAAGTCTAAGTACTTATCTTTAATCCTAACTAAGGAAAACTATAAGCATAACTATCTGTCTGCAACTCCATCAAACACCACAGAAGGATAATATATAAACTCTAGAAATGACAGACACATCTTATTTTGTCAGTCACCTGAAGTTCTTCTGTAATCTTCCATCTTCAGCCCATAGGCCATAGTGTGTCTGGCAGACTCTTCAGCAAAGCAGGAAACTTTAAACTGTATACCTGTATTGTCAGTTTGTCAGTCACTTTTCTCTGTGTCCTGCAGACTGTCTGGCAGATTCTTCCATGAAGCAGGAACTCTGTAGCAATGTCTATCTTCAATCAGCAGGCACTTTTCTGTGGGTTCTGCATGTCCAGTTTATATAGCATAAAGTCAAACAGTCCAGACAAGAGCAGTATCTTGTCCACATGGCTAGTCTTGCCATATTGGAGGCAAACTCCATAACGTGTTTTTTTTTTTTTTAATGTCCATCTCTTCCTTTCTGACGCAGGTGGTGTTGCCAGGAGCAGTTGTGCCTCATTGTCAAGAAAAACCCTAACCCATTTTAAATGCCATATTCTGTAGGTCTTTGAAAGGTTTGAAGAATGTTTATCCATCTCAAATACATGTCTATATATCAAGAAAACCTAACTCACCTAGCTATAAGTTTTGACTATTATAAGTAACTCTCTAAAATATGAACTAACTTATATATTACATTTTTAAATGAGCTATGCAAACACAGTATCTAAACAAAAGAAGAAATACACACATTACAAAATTGACCTTAAATTGTATCAATAAATGAAAATCCATTCCAATACAAAGTATTCATATCTATACCATAATCCCCTTTTTACCTTTAAAAAGATTTGGCTGTGATCATTAACCATTTATAACTAACCCCATTAACATGAAAACATTTATAAACAATATTTGGGAATTTGGGCATTACTTTTCAAACAACTTCCTACTGATAGGGGGCACTGTTATGGGGAATCCTAAGAAGATGCAGAAATCCTGGCTGTAGTCTACAAGGCTGCTTTGTCCAGCTGTTTTGAATGTAGGATCAACTGGTACTCTGTTTCAGGGGGTCTGGCTTGCTCAAACCACATTAATCTGGAAGGAATCCACAGCTTTTCATTTTCTGTGGAAAGAAAAATAGAAATCCTTTTCCCCAGTAACTTGTCCTTAGACTTAAATTTTGGAGTCAAAGCATTTTTAAAATATATAAATTGTATTGATCCAACACCATTTGTTTTAACAGTTGTTGTTATTTCCTCAGCAGTCAAAAGATACAAAGACAATATAACACCATACAGCAACGGATTCTCTCTGAGCTTTTCATCTTTACTTGCTTTATTATTACTCTGTTTCTTTTACTTTTTATTTTTTGAGACAGGGTTTCTTTGTGTAACTCTTATCTGTCCTGGAATTCACTCTGCATTCCAGGTTTACTTGGAAATCACAGAGATCTGCTTGCCTCTGTCGCCTGAGTGCTGGGATTGAAGGCATGTGCCACTATACCCAGTTCCTCTTTGTCTTTTTAAAAACATTTTATTTTTTTCTCCCAATCCTATATATATTTTATACCACACTGTAAACCTTTAGTGCTTTTTCTTAATGTGAATCTGTCTTTACTGTAAATCTTTATCTTTTTTTTTTTTCCACGAGTCTTTTATCTGGTAAATAACAACACTGCTAAAATGAAAGTCATAGTTGTTTCTGTCACAGTTTACCAAAGATAGCGGGGGGGGGGGGGTGTACTTTTACTGCCAGCACTGAGAGCTGTGGTCACTGCTTTGGTCTGCGCTGCCATCCAGCAAGCATGCTGCGAGCTTGGAGATGTGGTCACTGCCATTTCCAGCTCTCATACACACCAATAAATTGTTAGCAGTGCTTTTTTAAAGCCTTGTGGTTTTTTGCCACTTATGGTGAGTCAGGAATCTTCCCTTAAAGGAGCCTTGCAAATATCTGCTTGTCTCTCACAAATTGGAATCTAAAGAGAAAAATGTTGTTACTAAGAAACCTTGTTTGTCTTTGTTCTTTTGTTTCTAAAACCCTTTTTTAAGCTTTTGTTAAATTTTAAGCGGAAGTTCTTATTAGCCACCTGGGCACCATGTGTAAGGAGTAACATTTTGCCTAGTCTTGTCCTGCCACGGCATCAGCCCCAATTAACACACAGAGACTCTGTATTTGATACAATGCTATTTGGCCTGGTCTAGTTTCTTATCTGCTAGCTCTGTCTTAAATATTAACCCATTTCTGCTGATATATGTATTTTCACGTGGTCTTCTCTTACTGAGGAGCCAGCTGGCATTCTGCTCTCTCCAGTCTCTCCATCTTGACTTCTCCTTCCTATTTCCTCTTTCCTCCTTGTCTCCTAGTCCCTCCTATCTTCCTTTTCTATTGGCCAACAGTGCTTTATTCATTAACCAGTATGAGAAACATATACATAATGGCATCTCCCATCACCTCCCCTTGTATGAAGACTGGGCAATGCGATTCAGTATAAGGAATAGATTAGTCTCAGGTTCTTGGTCATCCAAACAGTAACAGATGAGTTCCAATTTATGGAGTGGGTCTTGCATCAAATCTGTCATTGCTTGGTTACTCCCACAAGCTTTGTGCTATCATTTTCCTACATATCATGAAGGCCGTACTCTGTTTTAGATAAACATCTTGTCACTGGCTTGGTGTTTACATTTCTTCTTTGGTAGCATGCAGGTAGGTGTCTTCCTGTACCAAAGACCCTGGAACATAGGAGTGAAGGTTCTATATAGGCACCATCTTGACATCTCTTGTTTCAATTGTCTCCAGCTTGACCACAGGGCCCTGCTGTCAGTGTTTGGAGAGCAAGCTGCAGCCTGGGTAGTTTGTGATTTCTGTGGGTCCTTTTTCATTAGCTCGATTACAACTAATACTATTATGGTACTGGAAGCTGCATTTGGTGACAAGACATAAACATTATTTGGTAATTTCAATTAGATTGCTTTTCGTGTGTGTGTGTGTGTGTGTGTGTGTGTGTGTGTGTGTGTGTGTGTAAATTAGCTTTCTATATTGTCCCCTTAATGGTTCTTATTGTTAACTGTCTTTCTCCATATCCATTCCCTTCCCCCTTCCTTTGCCACCCCCTCTTGATCCTCCATTTAAATTCCCACCCCAGCCCAGAATCATCCATCCATAACTATCTATTCTATTCCACTTTCCTTACTAGAAAGTAAGGTGATATCACTCTAGAAATTAATGGTTCATTATGCAAAGGTCATATGACTGTGGCTCACTAAACTGACTTCACTACATAGTGGATGACTGTGGAGTTCAGCATCACTGGGAAGATCTATGCTACTAATATTTCTGTATAAATGGTCTTTTTAAAAATGTTCCAAATAACAATGCATGTTTATCTCATTCTTTGAAGATACAAATATGTCACTTGGTAAGTTACATTTATGATAAACAATAAATAAACTTTCTTCTCTTGCAGACCTATTGGGAGTTTGTTAAATGATTCTGCCATGGCTTTATGGCATTTACTGGTTATGCATGCTGATGCATGCATTTGTTCATCAGGTCTATCACTGTCATATATTGATACATGTGAATTTTCTTTGCACTGTATCTAAATATTATCTTTATTCCTGTTTTGCTTTAAAGAGTTTGGATTATATAAACAGTTTCCACAGTAAAGGAATTGAAAATACAAGCCTGAATTTAGTATTGAAAATAGCTAGTGAACAACTTAGAAAGCTATATTTCAATTGTAAAACATGTTAAATATGTAAAGCAAAACAGTTACAGAGGCATTGTGGACAGGCTGCTATCCAGGGGGTAATAAGATGACACAGTATGGCAGGCACTATTAGAGAGGACAAATGACAGAGGAAATTAACCTTTGACTTTAATTCTCAGATCATTGGTTTCCATCATTATTAACGGGGCCTTGATGCCTATTTTAGAAAACTGAAGTTTGATTTAATTGTGTTTAGAATTGCAATGGTTCTCATCTTCTTTTATACAACTTATTTTTAAACAAAAACAACTCACATAGAAAAGTTAAACTATTGTAAGCTGCCCAATATAAGCTTGTAACATAAATCCTAAAATTCATTTCAAGTGGATAATTTAAATACAGTTGTCTTGGGATATTCATTTTGTGCTTTAAATCTACATCCTCACATGTATTTTAAGAGAAAGTGCCAGATGTTTCTGGAATGCTTCCAACTTGAAGGAATTGGGAAAGAAGTTAGTTTTAATTGGATTATATGAGCATTTAATGTGAGTGCTAATGCGTGGATGGAAATCTGCATAAGCAATGGCATCGTGGCACTACATTTAGAATGTAGCTCTATCTTTTGAAGCAGATATACTGAGCAAGCAAGAAGGTGAATGTGAAAATATCTGTTAAAATGATTTATAAAGTTGTTTTATCTTTCTTTTCCTTCGTAGCCTGAAAGAAATGAGAGTGAACCAGGCAGCCAACGAATTAAACCTGTTTTTATTGAAGATGCTAATTTTGGACGCCAGATATCCTATCAACATGCAGCGGTCCATATTCCCACGGACATCTATGAGGGCTGTAAGTAAAAAACTATGAAGAATTATTGGGATGCTGAGCATGCCTTACATGTCTTATCTAGAGAAAGAAAACTGTCTCTGTTACAAAGTATGTAAGAATCCATGGGAAGGCTTGAGCCAGAGCTCTGTAGTAGATTGCTTAACTACTATATAACGCCTTCCTGGGTTCAGTCTCTAGAAGCAAATATTGCACAACTAAACAGTCACACACACACGCATGCACACACACACAATAACAACAACAAAATAGTATAGGTAGACTCCATTATGCAATGTGACAAATGTGATTTTTATGTATAGTTTCTACCACATAGCTTCTAGAACTCCCTATTGGAAAGTAGGGGTTGTTCTGATCTACTCTTGTGTAAATCATTCTGATATCCTAGTTAGTATAGATATCTTTCAAAAGATATCTCTCTCTCTCTCTCTCTCTCTCTCTCTCTCTATATATATATATATATATATATATATATATATATATACACACACATTTGTTCTTTAGAAATCAGAATAGCACAGATACACATTGTGCATGTGTAAGCACACCAGCTGGTAAAGGGAGAGAAAGCTGTGTGTTTCAGACTGCAGTTTTAGACTACTGCCTTTACCATTTCTTGCAATGTCTGTCAGTGTGGCTTTCTTTTCTTTACCACTGAACAGACTAAAAACCTCTTAATTTTCCAGTATAATGTTGGATCAAGATACAAATGAATTTTCTTCTTTGGAACGGAAATTGACCTGGGACTCTCAGTTAAGATGAATTCACTTTAAGAAAGGGAGGAGGGTGTGCAATTAGGAAGAAACAGGGAGAAGCTTTTGTTGTGTTCTGGGGATTTTCTTACATTAATAAAGGTGAACTCAGGGTCCTGTGTAGGGGCTTTTCTGGATTTGTAATCCAGGCATTTGGTCTTGACTCTGTCGTTCCCATGGGCTTCCATTCATTTCCTAGCCTTTTCCCTGAATCCCTTTCTGTATGTCAAGACCCAATTCCGGACATAAATAAAAAACAAGAAAAAAAAAAACTCACTGTGCATTAAAAAAATATTTCTTATATTCTCAGTAAATGGACAAACTATAGAATTTATCAAGTATCCAGAGCATACCTGAAATTGTTTGATTCCAGGAGCCAGATTGCATGAGCTTGGATGTAAACTTAAGCAGTATTGTTTTCTCAACCAAGTCACCTTTGTCAGCAAACATTTTCCTAGATGCAAAATGAAGTTAAGATTACAGACCTAAAAGACCATGTGAGGATGAAGTATCAATATAATTTCAGTTCTCTGAATAATAGCAAACTCAAGGTAGGCTTATAGTAGAATTCACTATTATTAGCTTCATTTATTTAGATGAATGCAAGTGTTAAGAATTTTTGTAAAGCATATTTTATTGGTAGATGTTTTCTGAGGCTATTTATTAAAGTAATGTGAAATGCATGCATGCATCTTTGTATCACATGAATTTCACCTCTTGTTAACGTGTATTATTCCTTCATTAATCCTGTCCATTTTTGTTTCCTGTGCTGCTGGGGGTGGCACCCATGGTCTCATCGTATTCACTGGGCAAGTGTAGTGCTACCCACTCACATCCTCAGTCTTTACTCTTTTCATTAGTTTAAAAAACACTTGCTAATTTCAGAGTATAGGTTCTTTTAGAGTTTGATTGTCCTTACTTTTAGTGAGAAAGCTGTGTGTGTGTATAAAGCTTGTTAATACATGACACTGAAAATAACATCTTTCTTGATTCACACTGTGAGATCCGAAGCCTTTTACATGGAACATTTTGTTATTTGTGAATCACAACATTAATTATTGTGATTACATTTACAAGATCCTTTTAACTGAAAAGATGGCTCAATAGTTAAGAGCACCTGCTGCTCTTACAGAGGACCCAGGTTTGATTCCCAGCACCCAATGATGTCCTCTTCTTACCTCTGTGGACACTAGAGATGCACATGGTAAACATGCAATCAAACATTCCTGGACATAATTAAAAAATAAAATAAAGTAATGCTTCATATAACCTGATTCATTGAATGCTATTATATTTGGTAATGTTCCTCAATTTTTAAAAACCTTTTAAGTTTATATATTTTCTGTTTTCCTGTCATTAGTTGATGTGATTTGTGTCTATCTTTGCATTTACAATGAAGAAAAAATAACAGGAAAATATGTAAAATTATGACTCAAACTGTTTTGTTCTATGTTCCATTAGTTATCTTTGGGTCTTATGATAACCTCAGTCAAGGAGTTTTTTCACCAAACAGCCATATTGTGTGGCTTATTTTCTTTAGCATGTGTATTCTCATGAATTCTTGATATGAAACAAATGCACTCATATACCTAAATAAAGCTAGTGCAGCTCTGCCTGAATATCTGTTTGTTTCTCAGTAGGAGACATATCTGACATTTGTTGTCAAAACAAAGCATTTTTTATAAGTTCATAGATTAACATTTGATGATTTTAGAACCAACATTGTCTACAAGAAGTAAGACACTTTACAGGATAAGCTTCATGTTCTCATGCTATGTATTTACTTTGTTATTTTTAATTATGTATGTGATTTTTCCTGTGTATGTGCATGTATATGTCCACTTCTTTGGCCACAGAAGTTTTTTTTTTTTTTTAAGCTGGAGTGATAGATGCAACCTGAGTGCTATGGACCAAACAAAGGTCCTCTGGAAAATCTCTTTTCTTGAACAAGTCTTTATTCATGCAAGTGTGTATTTGTGTGTTTGTGTGTATGTGTGTGTGTGTGTGTGTGTGTGTGTGTGTGTGTGTGTGTGTGTCTCCCAGGAATCTTCTGTGTCTACCTGCTCAGCACTTAAATTACATTCACCCATCATAAAACTCAGTATCTTTATGTGAACTGTAGGAACAAACCTTGGTCCTAACTCTAAAAGAGTCAGGGAAGCACCATGATGAATGAATCATTCTCCCAGCCCCTCCTGTTTTCTTCCTCTTGGGTAGTGTTGTTGTGTACCCTTCTGTGTATAGAGGCCAGAGGCTGATGGTGGTTGCCTCCTGCAGTCACTGTCTTTATTTTTTGAGAAGCTCTCTCACTAACCTGGAGCTCACTGATTCAATTAGGGTGGCTATTCAGTTGGCTTCAGAGATTCATTACTGCCTACCCTGACACCCACTGCCGGAGTTTCAGACTTATTTCCTGCCTACCCGCCCTTTCATGTGTAATGGAGATCCAAATTGAGATCCCCGTGCTTGAACCTTATAGGTGATGCCCTCTCCCCAGTCCCCCATTTAATGATTCTTATGTACTTGTTACTTTTAGTGAAATAGCATTCATAGCTAAAGTCTTCATATATTATACCCAAGAACAGGTGTAAACACTTACAGAGAAAAACATACATTTTTGATATTAATTTTTTACATACCATACACTATTTTTTTAAATGTACAAGAATGTTGACTATATCAATACTTTTGTTCCCAATTTAGAATAAACTATTTGTAAGCATCTGTAAAAAGTTTTAAAGTCACAAAGAATAATATTATTAGCTTGAAAATCAAGGAGATGAATGCTTATGCTTTTTAAACATTACATGGTAGTATTACTTTGGAAACAAAAAGAGAAAAGTTCAAAATTTGGTTCATTTGTTCAGCCTGCCTTTTTTCTGGATATTGCATCATCGTTTGATGATATCTCATCAGTGCACTGCTAACCTCTTGTGGCCCATACACCTTTAAAATTCCCATCCAGCATTTGCATTGCATGAGCAAATGACAGGACTCAAATTAGAAATGTCAGCAAGGTCTGGAGAGTCTGTAATTCCCAGTAGCCAACAGTTGGTTCCTCAGAATGAGCCAGGTACAAGGACTGCTGTAAGTTCCTGAGTTTAATGAATATGAAAGTATACTGTAATTGAAGGCTTAACGCAAGGAACAGCCTCTCCTTTTGCTCAAAGGCATTTGTGTGGCTGCATCTCAGAACCAATCTCATGTTCAAATTTCCCAAGGGAAATTACTTTTTAAAGTCCTTTGAATTGAAATGTTATTATTTTCAGTCAATTATATATTTAAATTTTCAAAATTATAGCTTCAATTAGAGCACCATCTCAATTTTTCATGTCTGGGTTCTTTATTGATTGCTACATTTTGATTTATACCCAAACCACTTAATTTTCAGATCTCATTTAGACTATAAACAAAAACAAGCTCTGGATATTGTGAACTAATTAGTTTTCTCAGTTCTTTGTTTCTAAATGTGTGCATTGACATGGGTCAAGCTCATACTAGGCAGGCACTCTGCATTGAGCTGCATCCCAATGCCCCAGATTTGTTTGAGCACAGAATTTTACTAATATTTTAATCATTTCAGGACTATCTTCTTAGACTATTCTATAGATTTACAGTCATTTAATAGCATGTACTGTTTTTGTTTATTTAGACAAAGTTTGTAGAGAATGTATATAGTGTGTTGACTGCATGCCTATGAGTATACCATGTACCTGCCCAGTGCTTTTGAGGCCAGAAGAAGGAAAACAGCCTCTGAAACTGAATTTAAATAGTTATGAGCCATCACTTGGGTGCTGGAAACTGAACCTTGGTCCTCTGAAAAAGCTGCAAATGCTATTAACAATTGTGCCCTCTTTCCAATCCCATACAACTTTCTTCTTAAAGAAAAAAGTTGGGTATGGTACATTTTAGAGTCAGGCAGGTCGATACCAGTGAGGTAGAGGTCAACTTGTGGTCCATATAATGAGTTCCAGACCGTACAGGGCTACACAGTAAGACCAGAACCATCCCCACTCCCCCCACCAAAAGCAACAGTTAAATGAACAAGAAAAATATACCTTATCTGTCTTAGGTTCAAGAACACCAGAAAAGGAGGGGCTGAGATTGGAATGTGAACAGGAGTCTGCAAAGCAGACAAAAGGCTTCACTGTCCCATACAAGGAGCTGAAAGGTGTTGTGGGAAGAGTGTGTTTTAGGATCCAGCACACCAGGTTTTTCTTCCTACAAAAGTCAGAGATCCCAACTCATTCA